ACCTGAGGAGGGTTGTCGTTCTGATCTCGAATATTTAATTTAATTGTGGTATTGCTGCTTAAAGGTGGCGAGCCCCCATCCTGTCCTTTTACAAAAACGTTGATAGTTTTAATTTGCTCATAGTCAAACGATTTGACTGCCTGTATAATTCCACTTTCTGCGTTCACAGATATGTAAGTGGATATGGGATTACCATTTAACTCTGTATCAATAAGCAGGTACGAGACTCGTGCGTTCTGGCCTGAGTCAGAGTCGTGTGCTTTCACCGAAAACACAGATAATCCTGGGGAGTTATTTTCCATGATATCAGCTTCATAAAAACTCTGTTCAAATACAGGAGCATTATCATTGACGTCTGATATTCTTAGTGTTATTGTCTTATTCGTTGAGAGCGGCGGGCTGCCTTCATCCACAGCCGTGAAAGTGATGTTGTATTCAGGATTACGCTCCCTGTCGAGGACTCCGTTTGTGACCAGAGTGTAATAATTCTTTAGCGATGAGTGGATTGCGAACGGGATATTTCCGTTAACTGAGCAATCTACTTTGCCATTTTTTCCTGAATCTAGATCTTTAACGTTTATGATGGCAACAGTAGTTCCGCTCGGAGAATCCTCTGCTATGGCACTAGAAAACGACGTGAGTGTTATTAAAGGTGCATTGTCATTTACATCTGACACTTCAATTATCACATTCGTTGATGTGCTTTGTCCACCTTGATCTTTTGCCTGAACGCCAATCTCATATATTTTATTCTCTTCATAATCGATGACACCGTTTACAGTTAAATCTCCGCTGTTTTCGTCTAGATGAAATAGTTCAGCAACATTACTTGACATGCGATTAAAGTGGTATGTAACAAGGCCGTTCATCCCTTCATCTGCATCTGTCGCACTCACCCTCGCCACTAATGTTCCTTTTGGTACATTTTCTTTAACTGAAGCCTTGAAAACTGACTGCGTAAAAACGGGGGCATTGTCATTTGTGTCTCGGACAGTTACATGTATTTTCAGTGTACCTGATCGCTGTGGATCACCCCCATCCACAGCAGTTAGCGTGAGAATCAGCTTCTCCTCTTTCTCTCGATCTAAAGCACCAGAAAGATACAGCTGTGCGTATTTATGTCCATTTGGGCTCGACAGCACCTTAATATTAAAATGCGTTGTTGGGTGTAACGTATAGCCGTGTAAAGCGTTAATGCCTACATCAGTGTCTGTTGCACTCACTTGTAATATTTCAGTTCCTGAAAGAGCGGATTCCAGGATTTCTACGTGCATTTCTTTCTCATGAAACACGGGTGCATTATCATTAACATCTAATACTTCTACGACAACGCTATGCAGTTGCATTGGATTTGTCATTATCATTTCAAAATTCAAACTACAGGGCGAAGTCTGTCCGCAGAGCTGTTCTCTGTCTATTCTCTCTCCCACGACCAGAGTCCCTTTGTCTACATCCAGCCGAATATACTCGCTGCTATCACTACTTACTATTCGAGCACCGCCTGATTTCAGCCTTTTAGCATCGATACCCAAATCTTCAGCCACATTTCCGACAAAAGAGCCCTTTCTCATCTCCTCTGGGACGGAGTAGCGGATCTGGCAGACCGTTGCCTCGATGAGAAAAACAAGGATGAAGGCCCGGACTTGCCATTGAATCGCGCGATCCCTGCTGATAAAATGCATATTCCTGAAGCAATTAATCCAACTCCACGTAAAGGCAAAAGCCTGCCAAATACTCAGTACCGTCCTTTTGTTGATGTGTTTAGAATCCACAGTGTGAAAAAGAATTCATCCGCCTAAAAATCCGTGGTGAAAATAAAGACCGAATGCTCTGCTCTCCGTGGTACATTAGAGGAAATGCAGGAGGTGTAGCTGCAGTTGAACGCTTAAATTTGCTTTGAAGACCAACAGCGGCCCTTAGAGTCCAATTTGAAAAATAACAAGTGATGTCAATAACAGAAAGAGAAGGAAAAGATCGTCTTAGAATAACTGTTCATAGCATGTGGAAAAGGCAGCTAATGTGCGTGTATCACCAAATTATTCTAATGTATGCAGTATGGATGCGTCTGTGTTACATGAAAACCTAAAAAATTAGATGTTGCTTACAAATGCTTTATATAACAAGCAGAGATAAAGTGGGAAACATGCAACAGACCCACAATACATAGTGATCACGTAAAACACTTTTAGACGTAATGCATTTGCGATCTCCATTAGGGGGG